TTTCATATTTATTTCCACCTATGTAAAGTTATCTTGCATCTTTTATAAGAAACCACATGGGTATTCTTTTAGTGAGCAAATAATAATTAACATTTTTCCTAGGAGAGGCTTTTGGAAATGCCTATCCCTGTTCCATGTCACTAAGACCACAACTACTGAAACTCATCTGATTTTTGCAATTATCCAATAACATACATACTGTGATTGTCAATACATTTATACTTTCTCACGTTTTTTTTTTTTTTGCCTTCAAGTAAGCTCTTTCCTAAGCCTAGAATATGAATTGTCCTCTTCTTCCTTATCCTCTGTTTTTATTAGGGAATATCCTATTCTTCCCTTCCAGATACACCTCTTAAAGCATACCAGATATGCAATTGCCTTATAAAGATTCAGATACTTCTTTCTTGTAAACTAAAATTTCACTTTGTATTTATTATAGTGACATTCTTCTCCTTATCCAGGAAGATATTTTCTAACCCTATGTTTACATTAGTTTCTTCACTATAAATGAAACTCTGTGAATTCAGACACAGTGTTTGACTAATCTGTTCTTTTACAAACCCAAAGGTTAGCTCAATGAGTTAATTTTTTTCAAATAAATTTATTAAATTCTGCAGAAAATGGTATATTAAAATGTCAAAGGTTATTACTAGTGTCACTGTTATAGACAGGAATGGACCATAGTGTTGTGAACTGTATCCTTTATATTTATCATAAAATTGAAACATGGAATGATACAATATCAAGTTTGTGGTTTCCCAGCTATTAAGTGGCATAATAGACTCAATGACTTTCTGTATATAACAGTATGGTTGAAAAGGTTCCAAGGCAGCAAGAAATTTCAACATTGAATGAATAAGGAGAAAAGGAGAAATATGAGGATAAAGTTCTATTTTTCTCCTGAATGATCTTTCTCCTGAATTTTTCAGGATTTTTCTCCTGAATGATCTATTTCTTTAGAAATAGAAATTTTTGACTGAAAAATAAAATTTGAGAATTAAATTCTAAAAGAATTGGATATATGAAGGGTGTGTGTGTGTGTATATGTGTATGTGCATGTGTCCATGCAATACTTTTAGGAGAGAATATGAAGTAAAATATAATATTGAAATCAATATACTAGTATTTACTGTGAAGTGGAAACATTATAATAAATATCCGATGATTAGAAAGGCTGTGTAGGAAGTCAGTTGCAACCTTTGGTTTTCCAGGCGTTTACAATATTAAAATCCTGGAAGAATAGATTTCCATATTGAGTATTTATCAATTTGGAATCAAAAACTATCTTAAAGAAAACTTACCTCACATCTTTGTTTACAAGTAAGAAAACTGAGGGTCAGAGGGTGAAATGCTTTTTCAAAATCCCATAGCTATTTTCTGGTGAAGTGGGAGTTGAACATTTGTTGCCTTGCCCCTCAAAACCTGCAAAGCAAGGGGGACGCAATAGGTTGTAGCAAAAACTTAAAAACATATGAAATTTATTTTGTCTCTGAAGGGATTTCTTAAGCGATACAAATGCACTTCTGATCAATGGATTGGGCTGGAGATGACAGAAAATCAAACAGGACGATGGGTAAATGGAACCATATTTAACAAATGGTGAGTTTCTTTCTTTGGGGGATTATTTAAATTTAGACAGCACAGCCTTCTCCAGAAACTTTGCATTAGCTGCCTTTCTCTAGAGCCCAAGGTTTGGGTGTGTGTTGGAAAAATGAGATAGGGAAAATTTTATCATGTATTAAGATTAGTTCTAAGAATCAACCAGGGAGGTTGGAAATCAAGATATAAGAAGGAAGATCTTTGCTGGTTATTTTGAAAATAAAGACCAGTGATTCATAAACACAGACCAAAAAAAAAAAAAAAATTCCAAGAAACATATGCCTGATTTTAGCCTATATTCTCCAATTTGTATTTATTCTTCAAACTTCATGCTACCTATTTGCTGACACCTTTTACAGTTCAAGTTAAACTTCCTGTTCATTTTAACTTGATTTTTATCTGGGCTTCATAGCTTCCATTTTGCAAAATTTACTGCACATATGACCTCCACATAACCACCCTAAATGGTGACCACCAGCCATTTAGCCACTTAGTTTATATTAGAATTTCTCAACAGCAACACTACTGACATTTTAAGCTGAATAATTCTTTGCTGTGGGGAGGGAGTTCTGTCTTGTTCATTTTAGAATGTTAGCAGCATCTCTTGCTTCTGCCTATTAGAGAGTTCCCCCTCTCCACTTATGAAAATCCAGAATGTCTCCAGATGTTGCCAAGTGTCACTTGTGTATGTGTGCATTGGAGGGTGGAGTAGGGAACACAAAGCAAAAATCACCTTGTGTTGAGAACTATTGGTTCATATAAACTGGTAGTTCTGCTGATTACACATAACTCTCTTAATGTCAGTTTAACAGGTATAAATTCTTGAAAGAGAAACTTTTATGGTCTAATTTGGTACAGGTATTTGCCCCTTAACAAGAGATCACTGTGCCACAGCACACTTTTCAGGACGCTGGAAAGATTTTTTTTTTTTAATGGGGTCATTGGGCAAGCGAGAAATCACAGGATTTTTTTCTTACATGGTGTTTAATCCCTTTATCATAGGTTTCCTGTGAGAGGAAGTGAAAAATGTGCTTACTTAGACGATGATGGTGCAGCAACGGCTAGATGCTACACAGAAAGAAAATGGATTTGTAGGCGGAAAATGCACTAACTGACATGGATACCTGAATTTTGTCATCCTTTTTTTCTTTCCCTCTGTATAATTTAATTTTCAACACTTCACTACTTTAATGTTTGAACTTGATAATGCATCTTGATAATTGTCAAAATAACTTACTTTGACTTATTTTTTTTTCTTTTCAAGTTGCCTGGATCTTTTTTTTTTCTATATCAATTTTAGAAAATGCCTGTAATTAATTTCCCAGGATCTATAGGTCAATTTGGAGAGTGCTATATTTAAAATATTATTTTTTATTAATTTATAATATATATGTTGTATTGGTGTTTATCATCTTGTATGATTTATAGTTTTTCTAATAAGTCATGTTATTTATTATATGTGTCCCTATTAAATGTATCTGAAGTTTATGCTATCCCAACTATGTAATTTTATTATTTTTTAAAATTGTTACTTTTTTATATGGAAGTGTAATTGTTTACATTATTCTAGAGAATGAAAATCTGCTGAAACAGAGGACAGCAGTGTTTTGCAGAGCTGGGGGGAGGGCATCATACAAAAACCATATGTGTTTGCCATCTTTTGCGGGTCTTCATGATAGGAGAGAGTTTTACGACTCTTGTTTTTTAATTAATTTCACATTTTAAAGAAAATGCTTCTAACATTTGGTTCTTTCTCTTTTTTAAAGATTTTATTTATTTGAGAGAGAGAGCACAGCAGGAGAGAGGGAGGAGCAGCAGGCTCCCAGCCAAGCAAGGAGCCTGACACGGAGCTTTTGCTCTGTACCTGTAATGTTTGTTTTACAACTTGGGATCTAGGTGCCCACTGAAGTTAGCTTCCTACCTTCCCACAGAAACTAAGAAATAGAGGTGCCACTTTTCTTGATGGTTAGTTACATTTCGAAGGAATGACTCTCTGGTCCTTAAGATAGGCACTTCTGGGTTGTAAAGCCTTTAAAAAGCTCTTTGAAAGATTTACATCTCAAAGAAGCAGACACAGAATTTCCAATTACAAATTTCCTAAAGTAAACAGTCTAAAAATGAGGAGTCAGGGACTCATAAGATAGGAAGAACAAAGCTTGTCTAAAATTTAATCAAGCTGAAGGGAATGTTAAAGCCATCTTTGTTATTGTCCACAAAATATTAATTAATTACAAAGGGAAAGAGAAACTTTACAGTGAAGTCTGATAGATATCACATTAAGCATGTGAACAAAGTCAATGGCATCAACAATGGACAAATAAATATGTGTGCTTCCTGACGGGACGCAATAAGAACTTCTCACTGTTTCTGCCAAGGAGCAGTTGAATATGACAACGAGAAATAATCAGACAGATTGAGATTAAAGAGCATTTTGCAGAAAAACTGGGTTGTAGTATTCCAAAGTGTCAAGTTGTGAATAACAAGGAAGGCTAAAGAACTCTTCCAAAGGGAAGGAGATTAAAGAGACATAATAACTAAACGCAGAAGATGATTCTGAGCTGGATCCTTTAGAGACAATTGGCAAACCTTAAAGAGAGTCTGAGAACTAGATGGTAGCACTGTATTGATGCTAGTTTATTAATTTTGATCACTTAATTGTGATTAAGGAGAGGATTTTTTTTTAGAAAGTATGCACAAAAGTATCCAATGATACTTGAAATTTTCATAATAAAATGTATCAATCTGGCAAGTAATTCTCAAGAGGTTCGGGAAGAAGGAAAGTGCTTTTGCTCTGTACCTGTAATGTTATACGTTTATGATAGTTTCTAAATTTAGATGAAAATTGTATAAAATCTAAAGCAAACAAAATATTTAATGTTTTTGAGTTGCAAATCCAGTTTTAAGGTTTATATTAAAGAAATAAAAGGTACTACTTTTTAAAAAGATGTTCAGAATGTTTATTGCAGCATAGTTTACAGCAGAAAAAAACTTGAAAACAAAGTTAATGCTTATCAACAAACCAGTAAAAAAACATATATAAATCCACACTATAATGCAACTCAGAATTGCATGAAATTTGCGTAGGATATTGTTACAAATTAAACAAGCACAATACAGAAAAGCAGATGTAATTTGATCACATTTGTTGTAAAATGAAAGTGAATAAACATCCTGAGTATGAATGCATGGACTCATACTTTATTATATTACCACATAAAACATTGAAGGGGCATATTTTAGATGGTTTACATGGTGTACTCTAAGGTTGGGATCCATGTAGATGATGGAGGGAAAATAGAGAAGACATTTTGTTGTTTAATCACAGTTCTATTTTTTAATTGTGCTTTTAAATTCTGACTCCTTAATATTAATATTAAATCTTAATTGGCAAAAAACTTTGATCATTGATTATTGATTGATTGACAAATCCATCTGAAAACACTGCTGCAGGTTTCAGAATAAATTTTGTTTTCCTTGACAGCAGCACAGCTATTTTCTTCAGTTGGCCCTTTTATGGAAAATCTGTAGAAGAAGGGATAAGTACATGGTTAATCCTTGTTGCTGAAGACATCCGTTTGTGTTTGCAGCCAATACCCTCCTTTAGTTAAAAGGCCGTTTGGATTTCAGGGCATTTTCAAATCCCTTGATTTACTAGAAGTTACAATATCTCTGTGACTTAGACTTACTCTGTGATTGGCACGGAGTTCGCAAAGAATCTGTTAGAAATGACAGAGCTAAGAGTAAATCTGTGTCCATATCCCTGTTCTAGTCTTTTTTCCATTGTTCTATATGGTGTAGTCTTTAAACAATAAATGCAAAATAATTACTGTTTTCAAACCTTTTTGTTTTGAAAACAAACCCAAATATCCATCATTACTCCAGTGAACATTAAATTGATTTTCATCCTTTCAAATTCGTTAGTATCAAGAATTATTTCAGATTAGATTTTGGTGAACTTAGAGGTACTTTATGAAGATAAGTTCTACAATAGATACAATAGACAATAGATGAAGATAAGTTCTACAATAGATAGAAAGTCAGACAGTGTTTTTGGAAAGACTCACGTCTTTGAATCTAATGGAGAACCATCCACCCAGGTCCATGTCCTCTTCAGGGATGTAAAGTTAAGCCCAATCCACACGTAATTTGTTTGTTTTAGGTTTTTCTGTATAAAAGCCTATGAAGTGAGTAAAGAGTAACTCAATGAACAGAATATTTTAATGATGTAGACATACTAAGTAAGATTTAGAATTTTATTGGACAGTTAGCATCCTACATGAACATTCTTATACTAGTCAATCCATAACTTATTTACATACTATATATTACATACATACATATACATACATATATATCACTTGTAAATTGAATATAAATATTCAGCCCAGGATTAGCATGAGCCAAATGAGGCACTGGCATTGAGCACAAAATTTAGGAGGATGCAAAAACTCAGTAATCAAGATAAATGATACTTTAACGGAAGGAATGAGAAGAAATTTGAGAAAAGCCATTTTTAAAAAAGACTTTATTGATTTATTTTAGAGGGACTGAGAGAGAGAGTGTGTGTGTGTGTGAGTGAGGGGATGGGCAGAGGGGAAAAGAAAGAGGGAATCCCATGCACCCTCTGTGCTGAGTGGGGAGCTGATTGGGGGCCTTGATGTCAGGACCCTGAGATTATGACCTGAGCTGAAATCAAGAGTCAGATGCTTAACTGATTGAGCCACTAAGGTACCCCTTGAGGAAACCTTTTTTTTTTTATTCATTTAGCATGTTTTCTTTTTTAATTCAAGTAATTAACATATAGTGTATTATTAGTTTCACGGGTAGAGTTTAGTGATTCATCAGTTGCATATAACACCCAGTGCTCATTACATCATGTGCCCTCCTTAATACCCATCACCCAATTACCACATCCTCCCTTCCACCTTCCCTCCAGCAACCCTCAGTTTGTTTCCTATAGTCAAGAGTCTCTTATGGTGTGTCTCCTTCTCTGATTTCATCTTTTTTTTTTTCCCCTCTTTTCCCCTACGATCCTCTGTTTTGTTTCTTAAATTCCACATATGAGTGAAATCATCTGATAATTGTCTTGAGGAAAACCACTTTTATCTGTACAGAGACTAATGCGATAACCCTGACACTAAACCACTTACCATTTCAAGTTGGTCCTGAATGATTGGTAGATGAGATTTCCTTCCCAAACAATACCCATAACTGTCACTCCAACTTTTCATTTCATTAGAGAACCAATAACACTTTTTTTGATATTTGAGCCATTCTGATGGGCACAACCCTACAGGGAAATGGAGGAAATAAAGAAAATTAAGTTATATACGTATCCCTGAAAATTGAATACTTCTGTGTTGTATAAATAAGAGTGGAGCTGTATGATAAAATCACTCACAACAAAGAGTTCAGATTTACAAGATGTCCAAATTGCAAATGATAATTCTTGGGAATTAAAAAATTAATTTGGTAAGATGAAGAAAAACTTAGACAAAAGGGGATTTCTTTTTCATTCCCAGATCTAATGTAATTGCTAAAATAACATCAGCCATTTAAGCTGTAAATTGCATTAATGCTACTTATGAGATTAAATATGATTTATACCATTCACTTAGAATTTAATTAGAGAAAGCTTTAAGATTTCTCTCATTTTGTACGCATAAATCTTACTTAATAATTCCCTTTTGATATTAAATAATGTTGAGCATAATAGTTTTTTGGCCTCTATATAATTATAAGTTCAAGTTCTTTGATTTTCTTAAATTAAATTAAACCTAGGTCTTCAATCGAAAATATCTGAGACTTTGGCATAATAATGAGAGAAAGTGAATTGAATGAATAAATATGAGTTCAGGTCAGTGTAACTATTCAAACTTCCAGCCATTAAATTCTCCTTTCTTTGTTGAAGTTAAATTCATATGACATAAATTCACCATTTTAATTACCTTAATTGGAAATGCCATGGATTTTAGTACAGCTACAATGTGTAAGCATAATTACTATCTAATTTCAAACTATTTTCATCAACCCCAAAATAAAATCCTGTAAATTGCAGCCACTATTCATTCTCCTCATCCTATTAAGTTTTAACATTGGAAAATATGAATCTTCCAAGTTAATTCTTTTTCAAGATTGTTTTTGCTATCCAGAATTTCTTTCAATTTCACATGAATTTTAGGATCACCTTGTCCATTTTCATGAAAAAAGGCCATTGGAATTTTGATAAGAATTTCTTTGAATCTGCAGATCTCTTTGTCAGTATTGCCATCTTAAGCAAATTGTGATATATATTCAGAGGAAAGTTCTCCAATCATAAAAGGAAATAAAATGCTGATATATGATACAACATGGGTGAATCTTGAAAACATTATGCTAAGTGAAAGAAGCAAAACACAAAAAGTGAATTATTCTATGATTCCGTTATATGAAAGTCTAAAATAGGTAAATCCACAGAGACAGAAAGCAGATTAGTGGTTGTTAAAGGCTGGGGGAGAGGAAATGGGCAATTGCTTACTGGGAATAGAATTTCTTTTTGGGTGATGAAAATGTTTTGGAACTAGATATAGTTGTTGCACATTCAAATGTCCTAATGCTATTGAATTGTTTTATTCTATTTTTGTAAAGATTTTACTTATTTATTTGACAGACAGAGATCACAAGTAGGCAGAGAGAGGGGGAAGCAGGCTTCCTGCTGAACAGAGAGCCCAATGCGGGGTTTAATCCCAGGACCCTGGGATCATGACCTGAGCCAAAGGCAGAGGCTTTAACCAACTGAGCCACCCAGGCTCCCTGAATTGTTTTATTTTAAATGGCTAACTTCATGTTTGTGGATATTTCCTCATTTAAAAAAAAAGAAAAAGCTAATGGAAATTAATACCTTACAGCTTGATATACAGTATTTAGACTAATTTTAAGAAAAATTTAATGTTATCTATATGATTCCACATTTACCTATCAAAGTTTCCTTATCTCTGAAAATGTTCCATTATAATACCCCACATAATGATAAATTAAATAGTCATGGTCAAAAATATGTGTTAAAATTACAGTATTTCAATTAGTTTGGGACTTGTACATATAAAACAGATAGATAATCCAAAACAAAATAGTATCAGTAAGTAAACAATAATATATATGACATTTTCATATGTGATCAAGAGAACAACATAAACTAGTGGATTAGAGAAAATCCTTTTTTTAAAAGATTTTATTTATTTATTTATTTAGAATGGAGGGAGGAGCAAAGAGAGAGGGAGAGAGAGAAACTCCAGCGGACTCCCCACTGAGTGTGAAGCCCTACTTGGGGCTCGATCCCAGGATCCCAAGATCATGACCTGACCAGAAAGCAAGAGTCCAATGCCTAACTGACTGAGCTACCCAGGCCCCCCCAGGAAAAATCCTTTGGTAAATAATCATAAAACAAATTAATCTACACATTTTGCACATTACTATAAAATAGATGTTGAAGGCCCCAAAAGTTAAGCACTTTAAAGTTAAACTAAAACAAAATTGGAAGTAGAAGGCATGGTTTTTCCAAAATTTTGTATAATTGGAAGTTCTAAGCACAAAATCATAATGAATCATTCATTATGTATAATTACTTTTATTCATTTTGTATTTCAAAACAGAATAAATAAGAGACAAAATATAGTTATTTACATACTGCCTTATAATCACAATTAACTTGCCATGTTTATGTGTTTCGATTTGATTTTAAACTCCTGCAAGGAAGAGCCTCTTTGTTATTTTTTCATTGATACTATCCTCCCACCACAAAAAAGTAATAAATTATACATATATACATATGCGTATATAGATATAGATATATGAAATTTTGAATGAAAAGTAGATTGATATCAAATCTTTGTTAATGTAAATCTGCATAACTGTTAAATAAGATTTTTTAAACTTAGAAAGCCAAAACAATTAAAACAAATACAGGCCAAAATCTTGAGAGATACCTGTATGGCCTGTAGCTTTTGAACCACAGTAACTTGTGTCCTTATTACTTATATTTCCTCTTGTGCCACTGTTCATTATCAGGTTTCCAATATCATCATGTTGGGTGATATTTGAATTCTTTGCTTCTTGGCATTTTAGTAATATTCCCTGAGAAACTTAAAAACAGAATTATTTTAACACTGGGTAAATATCTTTTCCCTGTGCAGTGCTCCAGACAGAAATTCTTTGGAATGATTCTGATGATTAGAACAAGAAACAACTGAAGAGATAACTAGAAAGTTTCTTTCTTGTTTTCATGTTTATTTAATGAAAAATAATTTCAAATATTACATAATTAATTCACTTACAGAATACATATTTGTTGAGGATCTATTCTGTGCCAGACATCGTGCTAAGAACTGGTGATACAGTAGTAAATAAAGCAAAATTCCCTCTCTAAAGAGTATACATGCTCTTTCCATGCTTTCTTGATGTCATGTTTTTCTGAAACCTATGACACTGTGCTTAGCCCATTCTACCATAATTACTTATTTAAAAATCTCTTTATTTCATTAGAGATTTCTCACCATGTTTATTCATTTTTTTGTTTTTTTTGTTTTTTTTTTTTGTTTTGAGAGGTTTTTTTTTTTTTAAATTCTGGAAATTTGCAGTAAACCTTGGGATATAGTAGTACATAGTATAAATTAAATACAATTTTACCTACAACTTATAAAAATTTCTAAGAAAAATCATGGAATTCTATCAATTCACAGGTTTCTAAGAAATCAAAAAAATGTGGTTTCCTAATATACATCTCTTTCTCTCTCTCTCTGTCTCTCTCTCTCTCTCTCACACACACACACACACACACACACATTTTCTTCCTTTTAGATTGTATGCCATTTGAGAACAAGATACCTGATTTGATTACATATTAAAAACATTGCTATGGAGTCTAATATACAGCTTTATACATAGTAGCTTCTTTTTAAGAGTTTGTTAACAAAAAATGAACAAATGAATGAGTATGAAAGTCATAAGAAAAGAGTAAACATTTTCCATATTTTTATTTAAGATCTTTTAACTTACCCAATAAAGACAGGGAGATCAAAGTCAAAACCAGTATACCGTTTACTGTTCCTGATATCCCCAATAAGATTTTATACCAGTGTGACATCACAGAACCATCTGAGAGATTAATCACATAAATTAGCTCAGAAAAGTACATTTCCAAGTAGTGAAAGCAACTGTAATAATAGGATTGCATATAATATTGGTTTTGAATTTTAAAGGATGTTAGGCAATCAAAAGCTTAAAACTTAAATAAATAGAAAAATGCTATCCTATTTTATTTAGTAATGGTAACACTGCATGGGGAGAGCTATGATGCATGTTATTTTGCATCTTAAGAAATTGCTAATATTTGACATAATTGACTAGTGGGATAAAGAAATTTAACATTTACACCTAATAATTCCCCAAGTGTGCATGTATATGCACACACACAAGTTCATGGGCACTTACAAATACACACATATATAGTCACACAAATATATACTTTCTAATTAATAATTTGCTTTAATATAATATTCCCAAGTATTCAACCTATTTAATTTACTGAGGATGTAATACAAATCAGAACTAAATATGACTCCTGATACCTGCTATTTTAACCTAAAAAAATCCTAAAATCTTTTCTAACCAATGTAATAATGATGTTTCAGCTTCTCGTTGAATGTTAAACACTTTAAGAGTGATGACTGTTTTATTTTTCATATGCCTATGCTGCTACATTAGAAATGAGATGTGCATTCTGTAGATGGCTATTAATGAACAAATTGATATGATAATACAGAAAGGAAATAGTCTCAATATGTTGCTATTTTTCTCAACCTCATTAAATAGGACATGGGTTGGTGGACATTAGCATATGGAATTGGATGAGTAATTAGTATATACTAAATAAATGAACATCTATATTTTGCATAATAGTTTTGTCATCCAAGATAATTTTTATAAAAGCATCACAGTAAGGAGCCACTCCCCATAACTATTATTATCCTTAGAGTTCGGTCAATAAATTGAGTTACTAAATACTGAACTTCATGTTCCAAATACCCCTTAAACCTGTGGGAATAAAAAAAAAAAAAAAGTACATTTGAAGATGCTGAAATCTGTCAAGAAAAAGCATAATAAACTATATAAAACAGTATGTCAAAGAAATAGTACACGGTTTTTAATCTTATGATAATGCCAAAGATCATAAAATAAGATTTATTGTAATTCAATTAATGAATACCCTATATTCCCCAGATATTTTTCTAATATTTTAATATAATAAAATTTATAATCAACAAATCCAAAGTATTCAACACATGTAAAAAATGTCATTTATTCATTTAAAAAAATAAAACACATGGCTATCAGAAAACATTAGGAGAAAGGGTGTGGAAGCCTTTTCAAATTCAATTCAAACTCAATTATTTCTTCTAAGTATCCTGAGTTGAGCTTCACAGTATGAATTTGAGGCATATAAGGCCTACAGTTTTGCAGGATATAACATTTTCATTACCCTGTATTTTCTCCTTTAGAGAAGTTGTAGAGAATTCTCCTGTATAGACTTTAACTTATAAGTCTTTTAATATCAGAAAATGAAAATAAAAATAATTTAAAAATAAAAAGCCCTACGATCAGTCACTCCTAAGTGTCCATACAAAATTCTTAAATATATTATTAGTAGCCAAAACACACCTTGACCATAATGGGTTTATTCAGGAATACAAGTGTTGTCCAATAGTAAGAAATTCATTTTATCTTACTAATAGAGCTAGAGAGAAATGTATCATCATCCTAATAGATGTAAAAAGTGCAATTGATAAAATCCAACAACTTTAAGTTAGAAAATGAAGCAAGAATCGATGGATACTTGTTCAATATGCAAAATTTTTATGTCTAATTAAGTTCATTGAGAAATGTCAGAAGTTTTCCACAAACGTTTGGAAAAAAATTAACTCTAGTATAAAGGTTAAAAGAAAATATTCTTGAAAATAACTATAGCTACAGTAATTTGCTAATGAATACACAATATAAAAAGAGGTAAATTGTGATATCAAAAACATAAAAGATAGGCATTTAAAAGGTAGAGTTTTGCATGCAATTGTAATTAGTTGTTATAAGTGTAAAATAGACTGTTATATCTATAAGATGTTTTATATAAACCTCATGGTAATCACAAAGCAAAACCTACAGCAGATGCACACATTAAAGGAAAAGGGAATCAGGGTGCCTGGGTGGCTCAGCGGGTTGGGCCTCTGCCTTTGGCTCGGGTCATGATCTCAGGGTCCTGGGATCGAGCCCCACATCAGGCTCTCTGCTCAGCGGGGAGCCTGCTTCCTTCTCTCTCTCTCTGCCTGGCTCTCTGCCTACTTGTGCTCTCTCTCTGTCAAATAAATAAATAAAATCTTTAAAAAAAAAAAAAAAAAGGAAAGGGAATCAAGGGAATCAAAGCATACCACTATGAAAAGTCAGTTCACAAAGGAAGGCCACAAGAGAAGGAGAAAAGAATAAGGGAATTACTAATGCCATCTTATTACCTGATATTTGGCTGTTTTATGTCTTTTCATATGAAGAATTAGAATTATTCTAATTCTTAACAGATCCAATACTCTAATCAAAAGATATGGAGTGGCTAGATAAATTAAAAAAAAAAAAATGGGACACAACTACATGCTGCATACAAGAGACTCACTTCATCTTTAAGGATACACATAGACTTAAAGAGAAGGGATAGAAAAAGATACCCCATGCAGATAGAAACTAAAGAGAGCAGAGGTAGCTATACTTATATAAGACAATGTAGAGGTTAAGTCAAAAACTGTAACAAGAGACAAAGAAGGTTATTATGTAATGATAAAGGGCTCAGTTTATCAAGAGAATATAACAATCATAAATATATATGCAGCCAACATCAGAGTAGCTAAATACATCAAACAAATATTAACAGATGTGAAAGGGAGGAATAGACAACAATGTCCTAATAACAGGGGATTTCAATACTTCACATTCAACAACAGATAGATCATCCAAACGAAAAATCACTACAAAAATCTGGGATGTGAGCTATTTCTTTAGACAAAATGGACCTAAAAGACATACACAGAACATTCCATCCAACAACAGTGGGAAACACATTCTTCTCAAATGCACACAGAACATTCTCCAAGATAGATCATATGATAGGCTACAAAAGAAGTCATGGCAAATTTAAGAAGACTGAAATGGTATCAAGGATTTTTTTCCAATGACAATAGTATGAAACTACACATCAAGGCAGCAGGATAACTGGAGAATTTACAGATACGTCAAATAAAGCAACACACTCCTGAACAACTAACAAGTCAAAGAAGAAACCAAAATGAAAATTTAAAAAAATCTTGAAACAAACGTGAAAATACATTGAACTTAAAGGATGCAACAAAAGCCCCCTTTTCTTTTTAGATTTTCCAAGGACCCTGGCAAATCTTTTTTTTAAAAGTTAATTTAATTTAATTTTTGTTCAGTGTTCCAAAATTCATTGTTTATACCACACCCAATGCTCCAAAAGCACTTCTAAGAGAGAAATTTATAACGATAAATAACTACATTTTCTATTAAAAGAAAAATCTGAAATAAACCATCTAACTTCTTTTTTTAAGATTTTATTTATTTATTTGACAGACAGAGATCACAAGTAGGCAGAGAGGCAGGCAGAGAGGGCAGGCAGGCTCCCTGCTGAGCAGAGAGCCCTACGCAGGGCTCAATCCAGGATCTTGGGATCATGACCTGAGCCGAAGGCAGAGGCTTTAACCCATTGAGCCACCCAGGCACCCCTCAAATAAACCATCTAACTTTAAACATTAAGGAACTAGGAATAAAAACAAAATAGAGGGAGAAAACATTGGAAAATTATGTAACTATCTGATAAATGGTCAACATTCAAAATATATAAGGAATGCATACAACTTATACAACTCAGTTAGGAAAAAATTATTAAAAATGGGCAGAGGATATGAATAGACAGTTTTCCAAAGAAGGCCTACAAATGGCCAAGTACATGAAAAGTTGTTCAATGTCACTAATCATCAGGGAAATGCAAACAAAACCATAATGAGATATCACTTCACGTCTGTCAGAATGGCTACTACCAAAAAGAGTTAACAGGTGTTGGTGAGGGTGTGGAGAACTTTGAACCCTTGCACACGGTTGGTGAAAATGTAAGATGGTGCAGTCACTAGGAAACCAGAATGGCAATCCCTCAAAAAATTAAAAATAGGGCTATCATATAATCCAGCAATTGCATTCATGGGTATATCCTAGAGATATATCAGTATTTAATCAGTATTTCAAAAAGATGTTTGCATTCAATGATCATTGTGACATAGAATGGTACAATCCTGTGGAGGATATTTGGGGGAAAACTAGCAAAATTGTATAAACATTTATGTTGACATCCAGCAGTCTGTCTTCTAGGAAAACACCCGAGTTACACATCGGCAATATATGGAAAGACATATGTGCGAGGCATTGCAATGCGATTTATAACAGGGGTAGACTAGAAAAAGAATGTAAACATCTTAAGTGTCCAGTAATGGAACTAGTTGAATGAAGTATGGTGTATACCCACTTAATAGAGAAATATTAGGCTGTATATAGGATTGAAATGTATGGAGGGAGAGAGCAGGGTGAAGGCAACAAGACAGAAGCTGGATCTTTGGGAGCTGAAGATCTCTGGAAGTACCTTGCTATACAGACTTTAGAAATATATAAATGTTTTAAATAATGATAAAATGATTCTAATTATATAATAGGCATTATGTATATTGTTATGACTGCATAATATGTATATTCATACATAATTATAATTACATCAAAATGAAAAAAGTGATCCCCCAAAATAAAATGGAATATGAAGTAAAGGGCTCTAACCCGTAGAGAGGAAGTATTTCAAACAATTTCATTTTTCTTATTTTTAATTTTTTAAAAGAGTTTATTTAGCTATTTGAGAGAGAGAGTGCTCATGTATGCACAAGCAAGTGGGGAGAGGCAAAGGGAGATGGAGAAGACCCCCTACTGAGAAGGAAGCCCTGACTGTGGGGCATGGGGAGGCTTGTTCCCAGGACCCTGAGACAGTGAACTGAGCTGAAGGCAGACCCTTAACTGACTGAGCCACCCAGGTGCCCCTCAAGCAATTTAACATAATTTGACTGTACTTGCCTAATAGAATATATTCTAAGGACAAAAAGCCCAGCAAAAACATTTCAATCTGCTTTAAGTAACTATATTATTAGTAATTCTATTTCTATAGTGATTCTGAAGCTTTAGATAGTAGCAAAAAAATGTAATTTCTTATTTCCATTAGGACCAAGACATGAGAAAATATATACAAATATATAATCACAAAGTTAAATAAAATCTCTGTGTATAATGACAGGGCTTAAATTGTCAACTAGATTTAAATGTATGTCATACCGCAAGCTTTACTAAATATTAGCAAACTTTACTCTTAGCGAAGGATACATTGGTAAAGGATAAGTATCAGTATACGCCACTTAAATAGCTAGGAGTTGCACATTTATCATTGGCAGCCTCCTGAGCTCCTTTCCTCAACCAAAACACATTCTGGTTTCAGAGTGGCATCTACAAACTGAGTGTGAAAAAAAAAGTTTGCACAGAAGAGCCATTACATTTGTGGTCTTTCAGGTTAATATCTCTATTTTCCAAAACAAAATTTTCCATCTGGTGAAAAACATATTTTAAAGTTTTTGACACACTGAATTAAAAACTGGTATTAAAGATGCCATTTTTATGAATGATAAAGAGGTTGATGAGTGGCACTAAATATTCATTTTAATTTTATTAATTTTAACTTATTTGTATTTTTCCTGAGAATCCTTAGGAAATTATATGATTATATGACTTACTTTATTTTTTAAAGATTTTTATTTATTTATTTGACTTTATTTTTTAAAGATTTTTATTTACTTATTTGACAGAGAGAGAACCAGTGAGAGAGGGAACACAAGCAGGGGAACCAGGAGAAGGAGAAGCAGGTTTCCCACTAAGCAGGGAACCTGATGTGGGCCTGGATCCCAGGACCCTTCAAGGTGTTACTTTAAAAGAAAATAACTTGGAGCACCTGGGTGGCTCAGTTGGTTAAGCGTCTGCCTTCGGCCCAGGTCAGGATCAGGGTCCTGGAATCGAGCCCCACTTTGGGCTTCCTGCTTTGCGGAGACCCTGCTTCTCCCTCTCCCTCTGCCTTTCCCCCTGCTTGTGCTCTCTCTGCATCAAATAAGTAAATAAACTCTTTAAAAATTTAAATAATTGTTAGTCCTCGCCTTGATAAATGAGACAGAAAGACAAGACAGAGGCAGAAAGAGAAAAACACCAAAAATTAAAATAGTCCAAGAACAGTAAAAAATAGAATATTGGAAATTATGGTCCACATTCATATTCATATTAATATTAACCCATATTAAATCCATACTCATATTAACCCACACCAATTAAAAAAAAAAAAACTGAATTCCATACCTTTAAATTTCACTTGGGATGTTTGGCCGGAACTCCTCTTTTTCAATTGTAAATTCAATGTCATATATCTGTCTTCGTCTTCCATCTTCGATGTGGGTGAATATATGTGTATATATGTGTGCGTTTTATTTTTAAGTATGATATGTAATTAAAAAGTAAAATCTGCTGTTAATCAGAGCTAGTCCTCTAATTGTCCACTCAGAGTACAAACAAGGGCGCAGAGTTTTTCATCTATTGGTGAGAACCACAAAGGAAGTGTTTTCTTTTTTTTTTCAGTTTATTTCTCTTGACCTAGATAACATGTGATTTTCTCAACTGTCCACCACATATTGAATTTAACATCATATGTGGTTCTTCATTTTTTAAAGATTTTATTTATTTATTTGACAGAGAGAGAGAGAGAGAGAGAGAGGGAACGCAAGCAGGGAAAGTGGGAGAGAGAGAAGCAGGCTTCCCGCTGAGTAGAGAATCTGATGGCCTGGATCCCAGGACCCTGGGATCATGACCTGAGCTGAAGGCAGTTGCTTAACGACTGAGCCACCCAGGAACCCAGTATGTGGTTCTTTAAAAAAATGCTCCCTGATTAACACATAAAGTCAGGCAAATGGAAATTGTACACCTTTTAGAGTTATAGGATACGTAGGTGTCTCCTGATTTAGCCAAAATATGTGAATTTTCAATTACACTTCCTAATATAGTGATATTTGATTCAATATAATAGCTTGCAATTACCTAACAGTTAAATTTCCTGATCCAAAAACAACATTGCTTACAAATCATGCTAATAATTTAATAATACAATTTGAAGAAAATAAACACTGGCAATTTTTACCATTCTAAAGACATCTTAAATAGAAAAAAAAAATTAAGGGGTGTGGAGAACTTGGGAAATAAACCATATTTTTCAGTTACCTTTTCTGGTATTTGAAAAGAAAGCCCAATATTCACAAAACAGGCCGGAAATTTCAGATTTTTTTCCTCAGCTTTAGCGAGGTTTACTTTATATACCATAAAATGCACTCCTTGTAAGCACATGATTAGCTGATTTTTAGCAAACATACAGATTTGTGCAACCACCACTCAAATCCAGTTTGGGAACTTTCTTATCACTAAAAAATTCCCTCGAGGCCAATCTCAAAGGAGTAATATAATTCTGGAAATATTACTTTTATACGTTGAGATGAAATTTAAAGTTTGACACATAAATCCCAACTCTTTGGTCATTGTAGCAAATCGAGAACAGAAAGTGAAAGCTTTGCACCAGAAGACTTGACTGGTGAGGCAGAAGACTGAGGAAAGATTGCTGAGTAGATCAGGCAACCCTGCCTGGAGCACAGCCAGTTCTGCTCTCACAGAGGGGGCCCGGGCCCATTAGCCCAACTCTCATCTCATTCCTCTGCTTTTCTGTCCCTAAATCAGTAAGTGGGAGGCCCAGGGCAAGTTTGTCTCCACGGGTCAATCTTCCAGGGCAAAGAATGAGCTGTAGAAGGCACACAACAGAGCTGGAGGGACAAAAATCAGCCTTTTAAATTTAGGAGTGACTTAATGACAATTACATTTGATATTTTCACAGATACAGTAGCACAATTTTGGCTAAAAATTCCTGTTATGTTCCTGCTGTACATTTTTCACCAAGAGTCTTCAACTTTTGATGTTATTTACCAATAATTGGGTGGACAAAGTGACCTCTCCTGTGGATATCAGTCAGCCTCTTTCCTCAGATATCCTGGATCTTATTAAATGAACACCTGTAAAATGATCCAGGACAGTAAGGATGGAAGTTACAAATGCTCATACAATAAGGCCCTCTGCCATCACGGCCGATTTTGCTAAAACCTCTGCCAAATGCCCAGCCTGTTAAAGGCAAAGACCAAAGATTTCCAAGGGAAGCCAGCCAACCTCGATGGCAGACCTATTACATAAGGATCTTCCATCATGCCCCGGATAGTGCTCTGTGTTCATGGGAATAATCACATATGTTAGGAGTCGATTTCACTTCTCTACCTGCAATGCTTCTGCTAGCACCACCATTCACAACGTTATAGAACATCTTCTTTGTCATCATGATTTTCCACACACTCTTGGCATTTGACATTTTGCAGAATAGAAAGTTTGGGAGTCAGTTCCCGCGTGAGGAATTTACTCCTCCATAAGCAACCTGCTGGGCGGGATGCCGAAATGACTTTCTGAAGGCACACTAGTGACACCAGCTGGTGCCATAGACAGAATGTACAGGTCTATGAATCCACACATGGAGTTAGGATTCAACTACAAAGTGCTCCCCTCCCGTCATTACACCTAATAATCCACTTGAAGAAAACTGCTTCCTTTACCCAAGATATGGTGGGGGTTTTTTACATTGTTTAAAGTTTTTACTTAAATTCCAGCTAGTTAACATACAGGTATACAATGTAGTGACTAAGCACTTCCAACATCGCCCAGTGCTCATCACAAGTGCATGCCTTAATCCCCGTCACTTATTTCACCCAAGATCTGTCTTTGTCAGGTTTAGAGCTTCCAATGCTCAAAAGAAGACTGTTCTAATAAGGAACATGATCAAGTTCCTCATGAACTGGAAGCCAGTAATTATAATAAGTATGCAAATCATTGTGGAAGTAAAGAACGTGGTCACTGAACTCCCCCTCGTGCTTTTTTGTGCCTCTATAAATTAAGGTAATTCTCCCCACCCCATTACTTTTTCGGTTTAGGTTTTAACACAAACTTAAAAGATTCATCTTGTCAGATTCCTCATTCTCTCTGAATTTCAGAGTGTCTAGAGTGTATGACTCTGTCAGTGCATTAGCTATCCAAGTTGTGTGCCATTTGCATATTCATTATGTTAATTGAAGCATCCGTAAAAGTGGGAGAAGATGGGAGCAAAGACAATACATCTGGCATATAGCTAATGATCTCTCTCCCAACTAATGATACCTAATCTGAGTAAAACTTCTTTCATGGAGATTGGTATTATGGAATATTTTATCAAATATCTCAATGAACACCACATATACTTTATCATGAGTCTTTTTCAGACACATTAGTGTAAAACTACCAAGAATATGAGGTCTTTCTGGCATGATTTGTCTACTTATTCATACTATACCCATGACTATTTACTAAGACTTAGCAAGCCCTGTTTTTAATAATTTGCTCTGCCCATTGTTGCCCAAGGCTTTCAGCTCCAGAAATATCTGATCCATTTTGTCTTATCTCTCATAGAGAACTTGTTTAATGTCTATATATTTGTGAATTTTCCAGTTTCCCTTCTGCTGCTGGCTTGTAATTCCATGCCCCTGTAGTCAGAAAAGACACTTAGCGTGATTTCAGTCTTCAATGTTGTAAGATTTGTGTTGGGACCTAACATGTAATCTATGCTGGAGAATGTTTCTGTGTGTTGGAGAAGATGTGTGTTCTGCTATTGAGTGGAGAACTTTCTATATGTCTGTTAGGTTCGTTTGGTCTAAAATATGCTCAAGTCTGTTGTTTTCCTTATTGATATCTACCTGGATGTTCCATCCGTTGTTGAGAGTGGGGTAGTCAAGTCTCCTACTATTGTTGTGTTGCTGTTCTATTTCTCCTTTCTGTTTGTCAATGTTTGTTTTATATATGTGGGTGCTCTGATGTTGAGTGCATATATATTTGTAACTGTTATATGTTCTCAATTAATCCTTTTATCACTATGTAATGTCCTTCTTTGACTCTTGTGACAGTTTTTAACTTAAAGTCTGGTTTTTTATGATATAAATATAGCCACCTCTGCTCTCTTTATCATTTGCATGAAATATCTTTTTCTGACTTTTCACTTTCAGCTCATGTGTGTCCTTTGTAGCTAAAGTGAGTTTATTCTAGAAAGCATGCAGTTAGGTCTTGTGCTTTGTCCATTTGTTTGCCCATTCAAGCACTCAGTGTCTTTCTTATGGGGGAGTTTAATTATTTACTTTTTAAGTAATTATTGAAAGAGAAGGATTTACTATTGCCATCCTGTTCTTTTCCCTTAGTCTTATTTTTTTATATGTATCTTTCTCTCTTGATGTCTGCCTTTGTGTTTTGCTGATCTTTTGCATCAGTATGCTTTGACTTCTTTCTCTTCTGTGTGTGTATATAACTTCTATACATATATTTTGTTGTGGCTTAAGATTTACATAAAATATGTTAGAGTTCTAACAATCTATTTTTTATACCAGATTACAAAATTTACTGGATAGTAATACATATATATATATATTAAAGCAGCACAGTATCTGTGTAAGGATGATAGACAAATAAACGAGAAAAAAGATCCCAGAAACAGGTGCACAGATATACAAACAGTTATAGCAAAAGTGGCTTTGCAGATCAGGAGAGGAAGGGCTGACTTTTCTACAAATGATGCTAGCACATCTGGTTATCCATATGTGAAAAAATGAGGGGAGGTAGGTGAGGCAATAGGGGGAATACAAGTGCATTTATTTTGATGAGCCTAGAAAAGAGTATAAAATTGCTGAATCATTATATTGTATACCTAAACTAATATATACTGTATGTTAATTATACTTGAATTAAAAACATCTATACAAATTCATATCAAACTAGTTTAAATTGAACTATTTTATTATTAAATATTCAAAAGAATCTATAATAAAATAACATTTTGATTCATAAAATTCCTTAAATAATTTAATACTGTATTTCACACTTAAAATATGCAGCTAAGAAGCTACTTCCTGATTTCCTGTAGCTTTTATTTATTTACTTTTGAAACCTTGATGGAGGTTTCACTTATGGAAGTGATTCATGCAAAGAATCATATTATGTCATGAAGTTTTCCCATTGACCTTTTCATATACAGGAATTAAGTTGGGGAATTTGTTGTTATTGAACTCAAATACACTCATTAACCATACTGTAAATGTCCATGTACCTATTGATGGCTAGATCAATATATATTCCATCTGCCTATTTGACTTATATTAACAATAGAAGTGATACGTCTCAAGATGTCAATTCAAACATCATTTCCTCAAGATCTTCCTTGATAACGCAACCTAAAGTCCCTCTTATTGGCTTACTACTGTCTTCATAGCATTCATATAAGTACATTTACAC